TGGGAGGTCGGCATAGAGCGGCTACACGGGAGAGCCCATTGCAGGGCAGCTGCAGGGGTACGGCTGTGCCGCTATAAGCCTTAAAGGGGCCATTATAGAGCCTTAAAAAGGCTCAGGAGTTAAATTTGCCCAGATTATTGGGTGGGGTCTCAAGGTTTTTCTGTTTTGTATTGCTAAGAGGAACCCTTGACACTGCACCCAGTCCTTGGTGCTGCCGACTCCACCTGGCGGAAGGGTGAGAGATCGAGAGATCCAGAGATAGTTTCAACACCACGGAAAAGGCTGCATTCGAGAAATAGAAACACTCACCAAGTTCACTTTGAAGATCATCTAGGTAACAAAGAATCAGAAACAAATACACACTAATTAAGTGCATCTCTTCTAGGATGGAATCAACCCCAGCCTCCCATCATGCAGCCTGTCCCTCTCAAACCCATTGATCCAGGCAATGGGCAGGGAAACTACTGAGGTCTGGAGAGAAGAGTCCCTTTCCAACCCACAGGCAGGGCACGGAGCACCTGCGAAGTCCCATAGGGTGTGGCTACACAGCAGCTGAATACCCCCAATTGACCCATGGCAGCTAACTAGGCTCACAAGACATGGGGTGGGGGCCTGTAAAATTGGGGTGTGGACATTTGGGCTCATTTTGTGTCTACACTAGAGTAAAGTATCAAAAAATAACTGATTATCTGCATGGACTTACAGTTCTGAAAGTTTTGAATTCCCAAGGGAATTAGGGCCAGATTTTTAAAGGTATTTAAGTTCCTAACTCCCACTGATTTCAATTGGCATTAGGTGTCCAAATACCTTTAAAATGCTACCCTTAGAGCCCATTCCCACTTCCTTGCATATTACGTGTTCCCATTCACTTTGCTGGGAGTGTTAGATGTGCACGGAATGTAATATTTGTCCCTAAAATTATCAACATTATTCTTTTAGTGATGTGACTTGGCCTTTAGTTGGATCCTACACTCGTTGAAATCAAAGGCACAGCTCTAATTGATGTTCGTGGTGCAGCATCAGGGCATTCATGTTTTCCTCATTTAAAAAATAAAACATGAGGAGACAAATTTGAACAAAGTTTTCCTTGTTGGAGGAAAGGGCACAACACTTACTGATTTTGTATCACCCACTACCCTAAAAACAGAAATAAATATAAATTATTATTAGGAGCATTTTTCTCATGGATATACGGTTGTCTGAGTTTTGTGAAAGTTAAACATCGTGTCTCACTTTTCATATTACCAGTTGGGGTGAAATTGATCAGGCTTAATCTCATCCCAATTTCCTTTTAACATTAAATGAAAAAATGAACAACTCCTCCTCCAATATAATTACACACAAGATCCACATTGGACCAAATTATTTACTTGTCAGATGAGGCAAGAGGACATTTGAGGGCACAGAGTCCTCCTGGTCCCCCATGTCATGGTGCCTTCAGCACCATGTGGATTTCAGCCTCAGAGAAGATACATTTCAAAGAACATTTTCTTTCTGATTTTCTCTTACCCACATACTGAATAATTATCAATACATTATCCCTGATATTTCATGTGATACTCAAATTGATCTCTCTTTAATAATTATCATCATAAATAATAAAACAGCAAACAACTTAATGGAAAAGGTTCTATGTGGAGAAAAATTGAATTTACTGATTTCTCCAAGATGTTTCCCTAAAGAAATGAAATGAAGCAAACAGATGGAAATACAAGTTATTTAAGAAGATTTCCAGTTAATGGAGATATTCAAGGCGTGTTTTCATGATATGAACGCCTGGCCCCTAAATACCAAACATTTCATTCATGTTTTACTACCCATGTGGCCACACTAGAGTTAAGTGTCCAACAGTAACTGACTATTTTCAAGGATTTACAACTCTGAAAGGTTTGAATTCCTTATGGAATTAGGGTCTGATTTTTCAAGGCATTGAGGAGCCTAACTCCGACTGATTTCAGTGAGAGTTAGCTCACCATGTACCTTAAAAAAATCTAGCCATTAGAGCCCAATCCTGCTTCCTTGTATTATCTCTCACATTCCCATTGGCTGTGCTGGGAGCTCTGAGGAGTGCAGACTGGAATTTCTGGCCCTCAAATTATCAGCATTATTTTTTAATGATATGACTTGTGCATTCAGTGCTTAATCCTCCACTCATTGAAGTCAATGGCAAAGATCTAACTGATGTTAGTGATGCAGTATCTGGGCTTTCATCTTTTTCTGGTTAAAAAACTCCACCCCAAAAATTCACAGATAAACAAAGAAATACCCTTATGAGGAGTCAAATTTGTACAAAAGTTTTACTTGTTGGAGGAAAGAGCACGCCATTTACAGATTTCTATATCCTGTTCTATATCTATATCTACAGATTTCTATATCCTGTTCCATTAAAAATAAACAGAAATAAATATAAATTCTTATTAGGAGCATTCTTCCCTTGGTTATACAGTTCTCTGCATTTCATGAAAGTTGCACAGTGATTATACAATTCATGAGCCTTTGAGGGGTTTCATGTTCTCAACACCAGGAGAAAAAGGTTTCCCTTCTCCATCTCTGACTTCTTGTTTCTCACCATAGTCAGAACTCAGGTTAAGGCTCAGAGCTCATGTCTATTCAGACCCCTCTTTTCCACTGTGTATATTTTTTTAATATTATCTATTGGGATGAAATTTGCCAGGCTTTGTCTCATTCCAATTTCTTTTTAACAGTAAATGAAATCACAGACAACTGCTCCCAAAATAAAACAACACACAATCTTTATGGGGACCCAACTCTGTCCAAAATATTTACTTATCAGAAGAGGGAAAAAGACATTAACTAATTCCCAAAGTCCATGGGGACTGAAGAGGGAATAACTGCACAGCTGGGTGGGAAGTGAGCAGAAAAAAGTGAGGAGTGAAGAAGGTTTGGGATCAATCTCCCCCCCTTCCCCAAGCACTCCATTCAGCTTAACTGAGGCAGTTCTGGGGGAGAAATATTCTGGGTCTGTAAAGGGCTGATGCAGATCACTGCCTCCAGGAGCAAATGGGAACCTTAGTAACGTTTCCTTCCCTGTGCTGCTGCGGGGAGCACAGGGCAGGTCCGTGCTTCCCCTGCTTGGCCCAGTGTAAAATTTCATTCTTCCCTTTTTTCATTTATTAGAAGAAAATTTCTTGTTAATTTCACTAAATTTTCCCCTGTGACGTTTACCTTTTATTTTAAATAGATAAACAGTGAGGCCAATGAAACCAAACAAAACCAGCAGGATCACACTCAGAGCCACCATCCATGGATTCACCCTCGGGAAAAAGGAATCTGAAAAATAAACCCCCAGGATTTGCATTAGTTTGGAAGCAGGGACAAAACTAATTTTTTTTCTATTGCACGTAAATACATAAATAGTCCCCAGCAGGACGTAGGTGAAGTAAGAGTGAAAACATGACCCCCCTCCCCCATGCTGCACAAAAGACCAAAACCTGATTTTAAAAATTACTCCAACTAACACAGCTTTAGCACTGATTAAGCTGTGAATGAACAGGCCTGGTTTGATTCATGGTATTCAGAGCTTTATTGAGTTCAGGGGCAAATTCTCTGCTCACAAAACCGCATTGACTTCAGTGGAGTTATGCCAGCAAACAATTTGGCCCTCACTGTTCAGCAACATTCAGAAATTGCAAGAGTAATTAGAATGTTTTTCATAGATTCATAGATACTGAGGTCAGAAGGGACCATTATATCATCTAGTCTGACCTCCTGCACAATGCAGGCCACAGAATTTCACCCACCCACTCCTGCGAAAAACCTCTCACCTATGTCTCAGCTATTGAAGTCCTCAAATCATGGTTTAAAGACTTCAAGGAGCAGAGAATCCTCCAGCAAGTGACCCGTGCCCCATGCTACAGAGGAAGGCAAAAAACCTCCAGGACCTCTTCCAATCTGCCCTGGAGGTAAATTCCTTCCCGACCCCAAATATGGCAATCAGCTAAACCCTGAGCATATGGGCAAGATTCACCAGCCAGATACTACAGAAAATTCTTTCCTGGGTAACTCAGATCCCACCTCATCTAACATCCCATCTCAGGCCATTAGGCCTATTTACCATGAATATTTAATTTCCAAAATCATGTTATCCCATCATACCATCTCCTCCATAAACTTATCGAGTTTACTCTTAAAGCCAGATAGATCTTTTGCCCCCGCTGCTTCCCTTGGAAGGCTATTCCAAAACTTCACTCCTCTGATGGTTAGAAACCTTCATCTAATTTCAAGTCTAAACTTCCTAGTGGCCATTTTGGTGAGTCACTAATAATTTCCCCAATTATTTCGATGAATCATAATTGCAATGAATCCAAACATTAAGTGCTAGAAATTGATTCATCTTCTTTTGCTGGTCTTGTGTTTACAGCATTTACATCATCTAGCCAGGGTGGGCATTTCAAACATGCCTAAGGCCTTCTCCACACAGGATTTGTGCACTGGTTTAGTGAAATTGGTGTAACACTCATGCAGTCATTGTTACATTGATTCCACAGCTGACCACGTAACAGGACTCCCCCAATTTAACTAAACTGATTGACAAAACCTTAAACTGTAAATCAGCTGAAGAGTGTCCTTTATCCATTTAGTATAAATCAGTAAGGAACTGACTTACACTAAATGCACAGGACACTCTGAAACTGACAGAAGAGCGTTTAGACAAGAGGTTTCATCAATAACTCAGGAGATAATCAGGGCGGCTTTTGTGTGTAGACAAAGGCAAAGTGAGTTATGAGCACAAGTCCTATTGAATGTCAACAGAAACAAGCCCACATCATTTGGTGACATTTCACTAACTGAAAAGGTAGCAAACAAACGATGGTGTAAAAATTGCTACATTCAAAAAAATCACTGAGGGGAAGTTAAGTTTTTAGGAATAAACTCTTTCAAAATCAGTCTCTCTCTCTTTTTTTTTTTTTTAGAAGAAATATTCACCAAACCTTGAAAGTAAGAGTTTCAGGAGTATCAGAGTTAAGATTAAATTTACATGAAACCCAAAACTCTGATAACTCCGAATATGCAAAATTAAGGCAATCAGATTGCCTGAGTTGTGACCCTGTTAAGGTTCCAGTATCTGAACTTCTTTGTTTTTATGTAGGTTGTAAAATATGCACAACAGATGCTTCAGTTCTTTGTTTCCTATGTTTTGTTTTGTTTCTGATGGAGGTAATTTCAGTGTGTGGGTTTAGCTGGTAACTGACCTGCTATATAAACCGTTGATTCCTTTTCTTGATTGAGAATGGTGTTCCTGATCAAACAGGACAGGTTCTGGTTTGAACGTTCTTTTATAATAATAGAATTTTCTGTTTCAAACAGGCCACTATCCCCGAGGGATTTTGCTTCAGAGAGTGATGGTAATTCTTGCCCACTGAGATCTCTCCAAAGAACCTTGGGCTCTGGATACCAACCAGCCGATTGACAAACCATCCGGATCCCTCCATCCTGGTGACTCTCCACAGAGATGAGAGGATTGGAGCCCAAACCTAGAGGAAAATTACATAAATGTGTGATAAATCAATGGGGTAACTTAACAGCTAAAAAACGATGAGTGATAGATTGTGGATCCATTACTCCCACTCGAGATCACTTGCTCATACAGAAGGGATAAATGAACACTGGAATTTCTGAATTCCCAATACGCATGGACACAGGAAAACACGTGAACAAATATTTAAAATAATTTCACTGAATAAGGAGAGATATTGTCCTCTCCACCCAAGAGCAGTGGAACACTGAACACCTTTGGAAATCTGGCCACTTCGTTTAAATACCTAGTGGGTTATGAATTTTTCAAAAAGCCAGATTTTAGTATATTGGATAAACATTTTGTTTGTTCTCTTTTTAAATCAATCAACCAATCTAACTGGCTCCATGGTTCCTGTGTCAGAGCAGCAGGGGACAAACGCTCGGCCTCATCTGCTAGCGGTAAATACTTAACTTGTCGTCCCGCCCCCACCTTTATGTGGCCTCAGCCAATGAGAAAGCTGCAACTGATTTTGACTGCACCCCTAAATAACCACCAGTAGTGACCACGTCAGAAGGCCTGTACACCTGGCAGTCCCACCTCAGCCAGGCCTCAGAACGACGGCAGAGGAATTGGAAGACCAGGGACCGTCCACACGTGAGAGGCTCCAGCAGCGCAGCTTCACCGCTGTGGTGCTTCAGTGTAGACACTACTTACCCCAAGGGCAGGACTTCTCCTGGCGTCCCAGGTGATACCCCTCTCTGAGAGGCAGGAGCTAGGTTGACAGAAGAATTCTTCTGTTGACCCAGCCCTGCCTGCATGGCGACTTAGGTCAGCTTAGTTTTGTCGCTCATGGGGCATGTGTTTTTCAAACCCCTGAGTGACCTAGTTCAGCTGACCTACTTTTCTAGTGTAAACCAAGCCCATATTTGTCCAGAAGTCTTTTCCCTCCTTTCTCTCCCTCCTTTTGGAGTTAGTCAAGAACATCTTTTGGGCAAGGAAATCTCTTGACCATTCTGAAAATGTCTTTAATAAAACGTTGGGAAAGTTTTCAGCATATTTTCCAAAGTGTCTGAATGTGGTCGTGTGCTGAAATCTAGTCACACTGTGTTACTCTAAAATAATTCACAAGTTGCTAGTCACAGTTGTTGCAGTAGAAAAGAACAAAAACTGCAGCCCAGGCTGAGATAATACAGACAAGAACAGCTGACCTGCTATCTTCAGTTCCAATAGGGCTTCTTCATAAAAAGAACCATCTTGAACAAAACAGTTGTATTGTCCTTCATCTGAGCGTCTGATATTAAGAATCTGCAAGGAAACATTCCCATCTAGGATGCCATCTTTCAAAAGCTCCGTCCTTCCATGATAGTCTGGCATCTGCTTTCCATACTGATCCTTTCCTCCATGATACAGGTGCACAACTGAAAAGAACTCAGATCGGAACCATCTCACCTCCATGTTCTCAGCGCTCATCCTGGGGGTCAGGTGACAGGGTAACACAATGTTCTCACCCAAAATGGCAGTGACAGGGTGACCAGGACCCATCACTCTGAACTCAGCTGTGAAATACACCAAAGCAAAAAGAGAACAACCTCAGAGAGAAAATAAAATATAATCATGACTCATTCAATAGGTTCAAACTTTCCAAAAATTCAGCCTGGGGCAGACACCTGGTATGCAAATTTCCAGCCTGAACATTGAAAATTTGGCACAATAAGAAACAACTGAAAAGGGTGGGGGGGAAGAGTTACATTAATAAGTGACAGGCCAGCTCACGTATAGGTGTCACTGGTTACTCCCCATATATTAGTTTGACATGCCACAGAGCCATTTCAGTGCCCCGTGAACGGACAGGGTGACCTGAGTATATGCCCTGTGTACCTGAGCTCTGTGATCTGTTCCGACCCGTCACTATATTTCTGATGTGATTTCTCAGCATTGGTTTTAATATGAGAAGGATGAAAAGATGAAATCCTGACTCCACTGAAGTCAACAGAGATCTCCCAGAATTTCACCCGAATGTTTTGGGACCCGGCTTCTTTGGAGACCACCACCTCTCACCTCGTATGAGGACACAATTTTCATTGAGATCAGCTGAGGTTCTTGAGTTAACCTCCTTTGCCCCCCTCCACCTGTATTTAGTGAGACGGGGTCACTGCCAGGACATTTTCAGTAAAGGGTCTTCAACTCTGGGACCCACATGCCTTGGCCTCACTGAGCCAAATCACTTCAGCTTTAGGCCAGGTTGCCTTGGTGTTTGAGAAAGGATTGTGTCACAGAGGATGCAAGCATGTGAACTAGGATGCTCAGCGTGACCCAAGGTGCGTAGGGCAGCCCACAGTGGAAATGCCAAGGTCAGGGAAGGCTGCAAAAAGGAGAGCAGCTTCTCCCAAAACTGGTGGTTTACACTATAGTTAGATTCACCAACCAGTCACAAATTGTGCTCCTGATCCCCCACACTGGATATCAGAAAAGAAATCAAACAGCCCCCTTTACTGCATTCCAATCTCTGGCTCCCAATCAGCGAATAGGTTCAGTACAGTGAGACATTACTTAAAACTCTATTCACTTTACAAAATGTTCTTTTAATTCCCCAAAGGACCAGACACATTACCAGATCAATACTAGTTTGAATCTTACCCAAAAGACCATGCTGCCAGCCAATCCTTTAGTATCTAAAACTAAAGGTTTTATTAGAAAACAAAAGGAACGAAAGAGAAGAGAGTTGCTAAATGGTCAAAGCAATCAGATAGATAGATAGATTAGATGAAAGAAAGTGACTTCAGAATCCATATATCAGGTTCTTAGCAGCACTGGTGAATTTGCTAGCTTGCAAAGTTCCTCTGGAACACATCCAGAGCTTGGATGGGTCTATCAGTCCTTTGTTCAAAGCTTCAATTTGTAGGGAAGTTACTCCAGAGGCGAGAAGCAGGACTGCAGACAAAACGGAGAAGATGCAGCTGCCTTTTTATATCCTTTGCCATGTGGCGTGTACATCCTTTGTCCCAAACACAAACTCACAGCACATGGGCATAAAAAGGTACTTGGAGTCCCCTGTCCATAGGCATGTCCTTACATGTCCTGAAAAACAACGAGGAGTCCGGTGGCACCTTAAAGACTAAGATTTATTTTGGGCGTAAGCTTTTCCCAAATAAATCTGTTAGTCTTTAAGGTGCCACTGGACTCCTCGTTGTTTTTGTGGATATAGACTAACACGGCTACCTCTCTGATACTTGTCTACATGTCCTGCTGACTCATAGCCCCGGGCTTCTCTCAATGGTTCATTCTACAGCTGATTGCCTTTGATGGGCCATCAAGCGGGCCGGATAGTGCTGATGCTGGACTGTCTGGGGGTGTCACCCAAATGCACAGCACAAGATTGACACACAAATATACCACACATATTTATATCTCACCATACAAAGATGATACATACCGATAAACAAGCTTATCATATTTAGCAAATCATGCTTTTTCCACTGATACCTTACATAGAATCATAGAACTGGAAGGGACCTTGAAAGGTCATCAAGTCCAGCCCCCTGCACTCATGGCAGGACCAGCACCACCTAGACCATCCCTGACAGGTGTTTGTCTAACCTGCTCTTAAAAATCTGCAATGACAGAGATTCCACAACCTCCCTATGCAATTGATTCCAGTGCCTAACCACCCTGACAGTTAGGAAGTTTTTCCTAATGTCCAACCTAAACCTTTCTCGCTGCAATTTAAGTCCATTGCTTCTTGTCCTATCATCAGAGGTTAAGGAGAACAATTTTTCTCCCTCCTCCTTATAACAAGCTTTTAGGTATTGAAAACTGTTAACATGTCCCCTCTCAGTCTTCTCTTTCCCAGACTAAACAAAACCAGTTCTTTCAATCTTCCCTCATAGGTTATGTTTTCCAGACCCCTAATCATCCTTGTTGCTCTACTCTGCACTCTCTCCAATTTGTCCGTATCTTTTCTGAAATGTGGCGCCCAGAACTGGACACAATATTCCAGTTGAGGCCTAATCAACGCAGTGTAGAGCAGTAGAATTACTTCTTGTGGCATATCTTGTATAAGATTTATTGCGATTTTGTAATATTGGTATCAATGCTACTATAAATGGTCACCCATATTCCATACAGCCTCACACACAGATACTATAATGATATAAGTATCTAGATAGATAGAGAAACTGCGTTGCCTCATATGCAGCGGGTGGAGAATTACTCCTCCAGAAGTGCTGGGGAGGAAGTGGAGACTTATTTATTGATATTGAGCCAATCTGAAATTTGTTTTAGGGGTGGGTTTGGGGGTTGTTTTTGGTTTTGGGGTTTTTTTTTTTCCCCCCAGTTTTGTACAAAGGAGTGGAATAGGCACAATTTATAAATCACTGCGATGAAACAAATCCTACAACCAGCAGCAGGACCAGTGGGATTCCTACCTGATTCCAGCTTGTGAATGTGATAAGTAATGAAGAAAATGACCAAATGAGGCAGAGAGGTGCTCATTGTGGAGCTAGGACAGAATGAAAGAACCTTCCTCTTCACTGTAACTTGATCTGGACAACAGGCTAGGGAAGAGAAAAATACTTTACCAAAACATGTTTTGCATTCAAATCTGATTTGTTAGAAAAAGGAACTATTATCTGTAGTTAGTGAATTGAACGGATTGTTTCTGGTCACCATGTCCTTCAAGCTTTTAGAGCTGGTAGACCTCATCCTCTCACACCTTGTTTTTAATGATAGGTTGGAAGCGAAAAACTAACTTTCCTGCTTTTTCAACTCCCAACTGGTTTCTCAATTTTGAATGGACGAGTCATTGAACTGAGCTAGTTGGGTACATTGAAATGAATAAAATATTTTCTCTGCACTTGCAGAAGAGGCTATTGCTGTCAAACGCTGGGTGAGCCCTTCAACAAATTCTGGTTCCACCACTTCATTGATCTTATTTTCTTTAAAACTTCTCCAGCAAACATGTACTGCTTGAATGTTACACATTACATATATGCCTTAGCATTAGTTGTCATAATTTTAATTTGAAAGATAATTTCTAATTTTAAAAAATCCAAGTTAAAGAAAAGCCTCTGATCTAAATTTTCTTTTAAAAAATCATTTTTAAAGATGAATTTTCATCCACCCTGAGTGTCTGACATTTCCTTCAGACCCCATTGCCAAAGAACGACAGCACTTTGAAGATTTACATTAATAGGTGGGATACATTGGATTGGATGAACTATTGAAGACAGCTGAAATTTGTTTGTCTCTTTCAAAAACAGAGCAGCA